GTATGGTACCCCTCATTGCTATACAGCAAAACGATAACCTTTTATTACTGCTTATTTATTTATTTGTTTATTTATTTATTTATTTATTTATTTTTGTTTTTTTGTTTTTTTGTTTGCAGTACAAGTGGGAGATATGGAATAAGGTGCAGCGCCAGGGGTACTATCAGGGGTGGCTGAAGTTTATAAAGGCAGCAGATGAAATGGAGGCCTCCATAAAAATACATAAATATAGCGAGCCCGCGCCGCCAGCGAAGGTGTTCTTGCTGCACTCGGGGCCGGTGAGCAGCAACAAGAAACAGCTAGCTAGCTTGCTGCTACAGCTAGCTAGCGAACGAGCTAGATATAGACTGATACGTGTAGCTAGTCAGCTAGCTGTCTGGGTAGCTGTATATTATATAGCTTTCAACTGCCACAAATGAATAGCTAGCTGGGTGCTTGCTGACTCATGTAGCAAGCTAGCTAGCTGTCGCTTCTGTATTGAAAATAAGAAAACATAGAAATAAAAAGAGAAAGATGATTGTGTGTTGTATCTGTATTTGTATTTTGTTTTAGATTGAAAACAAAGTGCTGCCTGTGATGGAAGAAGAATCTTTCAGTGTTTCTGTGTTTGGCTTTGCTGCGGTGACCCCGCCACCATCGCCATACAAAGCGGGGGCGAACATAAGCCCAAAGAGATTCGGAGAAATAGCAACAGCAGCAGGTAAATGTTGTTTTATTTCAAGAAATTATTGTTTTTATGATTTCTACGAGTCTTTATACTTCCTTTTGGTACTTGTTTTCCTTAGTTTGGTGGTTTTTCGGCTGTTTTCGCGGTTTCTTGTTTCAGTTCGTTGTTATTCATGTTTATCTATTCGGTGCTTGTTTTGACGTAATAATTACTTTTTTAATTTAATTTTATAATTTAATTTCAATTTCTGAATTCTAATTTTTGTGATAATTTCAGATCCTTGATTAAATTTTTGTTTTCTTTTCATGTTCACGTTTCAGTTCATCGTTCAAGTTTGTGTTTCCAGTCTGCGGTTTTATTTCATGAATTTATTTTGTATTTTCTCTTTGCGAGTTTACTTCATCATTTTAATTTATTTATTTAATATGTTGTTGCAGCTTATAGTTTCAGTTGATGGTGCAAGTATATGATAGCCAAAGAACAAAGTGAAACGCGAATGGTGGTTGCGGTGCAGCTCATGAATTCTAGTCTGTGCTTCCATGCGATGCTATCTGAACACGTACAGTGGCTCCTAAAACTAGTAACGATATAAATAATAATATTTCAATATATATATATATATATATATATATATATATATATATATATATATATATATATATATATATA